CACACACACACACACACACACACACACACACACACACACACACACACACATACCATGCGCCCTACATCGCTGACCGACCACGGATGGCGGCAATGATCTTCATAAGTGTGTGGCACATCATCCTCTGCGTCTCATCGGATGCCACGTAGTGCGCTTTCTGGAATGCAACTTCCTGGTCCAGTATGTCGCATTGCCTCGTGAATATGCTGCATTGCCGCTTGCTAGACGATTCGATCGTCGACGACATCAGTTCGCCATGGCGGTCCATGACATCAGAAATCGACTCCAACTCATGTTGACGCGCATTCTTTCGCTTCCCGCCTCCAGCCTCGCTGGCTGCGTTGTTGTCGGAGTCCCTCGTAGTAGAACGTTCTTCAGGGAAGCCTTCACCAGCGCCCTCACTACCAACGGACGCCCCAACACCCGCTCCTCGCCTGGGCAGCTGCACCCCGTCCGGACTTCCGGTGTCGGCGATGTTGGGAGAGAAAATTGTGTGGTTTCCCACCATGCCTGCGTGGATTTCGTTGTACAGTGCCCTCTTCATCCGGAACTTGAAGTTGTGCTCCTTCCTTTCTTCATTCGATAGCCGGAAGAAATCTGGCCGGCCACTTGCATTCTGAAACCTTTGTATCTTCTTGTAGTTTTGGAAGATATTGTCCCACTTCTTCATGCTGTCCTCCGCGTCTTTAGGCTTCCCCGCGTTCGCCATGCGCTGGGCAATGTCGTCCCACTTCCACTCCTTTGTCCGCATCCGCCCGTAATTGTGACCCAGACCGGCAAGGTGCATCTCTTGCTCCCGCTTGCATCTCACCAGTTGCATTTCCGGGGACCAGTACGTCGCAGACTTCCCGCCGTCGTCGCTGACGCCACCTCTGTCACCACGGCCAATGGATCGACCACGAACAGCACCCCTGCTGCGTCCTCTACCCCTCCCACCCGTCTTCCCCAAAGGCCGAATAGGAGTGTCGTCGTCGTCGTCCCCTGCTTCCACGTCCTCCCTGAATCGTTCGTCGGCATCGTCACCGCCACCACCATCGTCGTCGCCGCCATTGCTGTGTGCCCTCATGTTTGACACTCCTCTTGTGATGTTCTCCACAGTGGGTGCTGGACGCACCGCTGGTCTGCACGTGCCGTCGTCCCTGAGGTCGAGTTGGGTCGGCGTTGTGCTTTTGGGCATCGAAGGACGTGCACCGCCGCTGCGCAGGGACTCGACTGCGACTCCATTGCGTGCGGGGCAGGTACTTGTCAATCGATCGGCGGACGGTGCACTCGATCCATGCTGCCGGCCTGCTGCCGATGGCCCGACACCGCTAGTAACGGACGCACCGCCACGAAGTGTGGACCGCTCTGTATGCTGACTTCTAGATTGTTGAACGCCACGTGGTGAACGATCGGCGTCAATGATGAACGTGCGGCTCTGCTCCCTAGCGGCGCCAGAACACAACCCGAACCAGAGATCAACTCCCCCATCGTTATCGTCTCCCAAGCCTTGCTGCAGGAGTGTCGTGTACTCGCCGCGTTTGTTGCTTGCCGACCCGCCTGCGAGCACCGTCTGTGACAACAGCTGCGTCGACCCGCTGCCGAGAGGAAACGTTGGAAGTTCATCCCCCTCCGGCTCCTCGTCCGAGAAAGGCAGCGGCGTCTCCCACGATGGCAGATGGTTGTACATGGACGGGTCGTACCGCCGTGAAGGCTCCATCGTCGCTGGTCTTCTTCCACCCTCAGCTGCAGGCAGAACAACGTGTGCCTGCATGCCCGCCATGGGACGTTCCTCTTGAAGCACAGCGCCTTTCGATGACGCCCTGCGCTTGCGACGTTGCGTCCACGGCCGGCACGACAAGCACGCGTGGAGGAAGACGACAAAGAGGAAGATGACCACAACGAGCAGCAGCAGAGGCAATCTCTTCTGCATATCTGCCATGAATACGACGTCAACAGCCGACCTTTCACGTGACGTCCTGCTCAACTTTCTCCTCGCATGCCCGCGAACAAGGCCGCTGGACCTTCATATGCCGTCGACCGGCGGCGAAGACGACAAACATTGGCGCCTGCGATTCAAAAAGCGACTGTTGGCTCCCACGCGGTCTCCATGTGTCGTCGTGCGCACGTCTGCGGACTCCTCTGTTGCCCACACCCGAGCCAACGTTCCGCAACAACCGCCCGCCTGGCCACGATTCGCCCCGCGCTCTCCACCCCACCGGCCAACGGCTACCGGTCGGGGCCATTGCCATTGTCGACCGGCAGAAAACCTCCGATATCCGCCCGACGACCCGACGGACCTCTCCTGGACCAGCGCCTCCGTGTCTTCGGTGCCATTCTCGCGATGCGACGACTCCGTGAAACGTGGGAATCCTAAATTTTTCAGTAGGTCCGGGGCTACTGGAAAATTTAGGACAATTTGGCTGGGGAATCCTAAATCTTTTAGGACGAGTCCTAACGCCGTTTTCACATTTTCGATTCCCGCGTCCGATTTAGGATTGCGTGCAACCAAGACGCAATCCTAAGAACAGGAACTTTTAGGAGTCTGTAACGAGACCCTTGATCTTAGCCAAAAGGTCGAGAAAGGCATAGACAAGAAAATTTGAAAGGCACTGGCAATGGGGAAAAAAAAACACTAAAAAGAAATGGGTATTCCAGTTCAAAATTCAAATTCCGAATTGGGAGCTGGACGTGATGATGATGACGTGGGGCAGGTGACGTTTATACTGGCGACGGTGGAAGCGGGCATTTGCATGGGTTCAGTGGGGTCATCGGAAGTCGTCACGAAATTGTGAGCGGCCCACGAAGGTCTGTTGCCATAGCCGCTTCCTGTTGTCGTGCGTATGTGTGGAGTAGAGCACAGTTGGGGAACGCTGTGGGCGACTCCTCGCTCAGGTTATCGTGGTCGTCCCCCCGTTTGTACGCTTTTGTTGGCAGTTCTTGAGTACCATTGCAACACGTGTGGCGATGGAGTTCAGCGGCGGCGAGGGACGAGCGAAGTTTACGACCATCGAGAAGACGGCCTTTGTGGCGTCCGTGAAGGCCGTCCTCTTTCGTTATCAGCAAGAGAGGGCATTCGAAACAGTACGAGAGAAGATATGTGGGCAGACGACTCATCAATTCTCGGTCGAAGGGCTGCGTACCATGGCCATCACCGAGGCTGTACTCCAGGTTTGCTGCGTCGTGGGTTGCCATGTTCTCCCACGAGCAACGCAGAGCTGGTGGATAAAAGGAGGATAGGGGGGGCGTGGAAGGATCTCAGGCAGTGCGACGACTTGCCAGAGAAGTACTTCCGGGAGACGCTTCATATGTCACCACGTGAGTTTCAGGAGAGCGCTGAAGCGTTGTGCCTCATCTACAGAAGTGTGTGACGTTCTACAGCGAGCCACCGCAGCCTGATCACATCGATACATTCTACAGGTGGGCATCAGGGGAGACATACGACAGTAGCATTGACTTACCGTGAGGGCACGGTGTCGGACGGCGCGGTGTCCTGGCCCTCCGCTGACTACCCAATGCCTGCTCGAGGACCGCTACTTACCTGTTGTCAGCCCTGGAACCTGTGTACCACAGGGGTCTTCACGGTGCACCCGACTCTCAACTTACAGATTTCTGAAGTGCACCAGGCACACTTGGGCGGAGCTCAACTGCAGGCTGGTCCAGTCGGCACTCACCCTAGCAAAAGGGTGGGGGTGCGCCACTGGACTTTCCATTGGTCCACGCAGGCTCCACGCCCTGCTAGACAGCAGACCACTACTGGGCTTTCATCGTGGTAGCCGTCGGCCTCGCCTAGGGACGTGAAGGAAGGGGGATCGGCGTGGTCCTTTCTACTGCGCGCCAGGTCTCGTTCTAACCGAGTTATGGGACAGATTCGAAAGTAGTCTGTGTAGCTGCGCGTTCATTGAACGTGTGTTCCGCGTTTAGATATTGAACGCATTGAACGCGCGTTCAATGAACAGGGGTGAACGCTCTGAACGCAAACGAGCAGAGCGTCACCCGTTGTCGAGCGGCTACCTACCAGTCGAAGTACTTTCTTTTTTTTTGTGAGAAAATTTCGAACCCTTTTTCTTTGCGTTTTGCTTGAGTTTGGTGTATGCCTGCGTGTCATTGACAAGTCTGTGGGTGATTCTGAACTTCCGGGGCTTTGTACTAACCTTGCAACGGGCGGAGATGGCGGGTCTGACTACGGTTGCAAGCGGGCTCGGGCGGATCCCAAGAGATCAGAGTTTTCGTGCCTGGACCAAGGAATTGAGGATCGGTTACTGACTTCAAGGCGGGCCGTGGAAGGCTCGGAGAAACGGAGCCTGTGACGACCCAGGAGGCAGCGGAACTAACCCCGGTCTCGCGCTACCAGGCGCGGAGCCAAAATCGGGAATTTTCGACCGGATGAGCAGGGGTCAAGGAGAGAACGGCTGATGGTGAGATTGCGTGGGTGGCAAAGGAAGACCTAAAACATGGAGCTCTCGGGGCGCAGGAAGAGCACACCCTGCTGGTGCACGAGGCGACGATTGGACCTGGGTATGGGATTGTGGGTCACGGAGGATGAAGAACGGGGGTATGAACAGTCGCGGCGTAGTAACCTGCTCGAGTAAACTGCCCCAATGGGATGAAGGGTCAGCTTCGATCGATCAACTCGCTATCCGGCATTCTCGGTACGTGCCTCCCCAATGTGACGACGCGACTGGGCACCTCAGGGGGAGGTACTATCGGGCTGATCAGATGGCAACGATATCAGGGGGATTGGGCCAGGCTGGTTGATTTCGGGGGAAGACAGTGTGTTCGGTATGAAGAAACGAAGAGAATTGTTTCTGGGGCCCAGCCCTCTACCGCCAAATGGAGTGAGGCCGCGGTGGGGAACTGGCCTAGCCAAAGGTAGACTTAACTATTAAAAGGGCCAACTGACGAAGGAGCGCCGGCTTAAGAAGAAGGTCGAGGTAGATGCGGCAGCGGTAATCCAACTGGGAGCGCGAGAGGGGGATCGAACGAGGGGCGACAGGATGAACGGGCGAAGAAAATTGTGGGATACAAAGCGGTTGATACAGGTTAAGGGATCGGGCAGTTCTTGATGATTGTCCGAACAGACAAACCTAGCAGCCGTAAAAATCTGAAGGGGGTCCGGATATAGTCACGGGGGAATAACAAAGAAAGTGTAAAGAGAACGCGGCGGGAAGGCGATCCGACGAGCTGGCCAAAGAGGGAGCGGGCTAGAATACGCGCACGGCGGTTCTTGTTGACTAAGAAGGGGAGTCGGAATCCACGGGAGAGATAGGGGAAAGGCCGTCATTGGATGAAGGAAGGGCGAGGGGATCGCGAGTCCTAGAGGAAACTGCGGCTTGCCAAGGCGGGAGCAGCAGAGTTAGAACGAAAGGAAACGAAAATTTCCCGAAAATTTTGGAGGGAGGAGAATTGGGCATGAATAGAGTGGTGGCGGAGTGTTCAAAATTGAAGGTGGGAGGTGACTGAAAAAGTATAGATAGACTGGGAGCGAACGGAAAAGGGGAGAGAACATTAGTGTTCGGGATCTGGCGCACGGAGGAGCGGCGTTCGAGGATCGATGTACGGAGTGAGTAGAGCGCAGTCACGAGGTCGAGAGGGAGTGTACGTATGACCCGACGCTCGAGATGCTGAGCAGCGTCGTCGGAGCTCCCAGAGTCATGGTCACGCGTGACGAGAGTGGTAAACTCGCGCTCGGGAGGCAACGAAAAGCCGACGAGCTGCGTTGCACACTGTTCGGATTCGGGGGCGAACACGAACACGTTCGCACCTCCGCGAACGTTTTTTTTTTTTTTTTTTTTAGGGGTGCGGGGGTAGAGCGAGAGAGAGAGAGAGAGATAACAAACAAATAGCTTCTTAACATTTATTAGAAAACCCCTGGGGGTTATCCCAGAGGCCCCTGCAAATAATTAGCAAGGGCCTCCTCACCATGAACGAGTGACAACTCGATGCTCATAGCCACGCTAGAGACCGGGAACGCCAAGTATATATGTTGTTGATTCACATTAAGGTCCGTGTTTCAGCAGTTATGGGACCACTGAGCACGCAACTTTTTGGGCAGTGGCAGTCCAACTCACCACGTGCTTTTCAGCCCTTCCCTCCACTACTCACCAAATGTCCAAAACTATAATGAATCTTCTGCTAGAACATGGAACCATACACCACCATATGTTTTGCCTTTTGTGCAAGCAGTGACGAGTGGCTCTTAGGGCCACTGCTCATAGGAAAACGAAAAAAAAAAAAAAAAAAAAAAAAAAAAAAA